CTACTGAAAAAAGTAGCGCACCAGGTTTCACGGGCTAGTATTAAGTCGCTTCCTATGAATTTTGGCGGGGGGGGGGCTATTTGTGTCGCCGTTGGTGAAGCCATTAATTTTAATCTCTTTTTTTTTCTTTTTTCTTTTTACTCGACCAATCACGTAATCACGCTCCTACAGGGTTTATGCTTTAAGGGGGTCTTCCAACTTATAAACGTAGGCCTAAAAAATATGGCAATGACTGAGGGACCCCCACCCAACGCCCCTCTGGATACGCCCCTGGTCTCTCTATGTGATTTTACAACGTTTGCTGCCTGCAGACGTGCAGCTGAAATTTTTTTAACAAAGAACAGATGAACCTACTTCAAGCAGTGGTAGGAAGCGTACGGAAAGTACAATACCTAGAATGTACGTGGTTGTCCCCAAAGATGTGGAAAATGCAGAATATTTCCGTGGTTCGATTCCTGAAATATGTGTGACATGCGATTCTCAGGCCAACGACCAAAATTGTGGGGTACTAGCTCTCAATCAAGCTATATGGTGAAATCAGTATTTCTTGTCTTGGTCTGTGAACAAGGCCAAAGACTACAAAGAGGAAGAAAGAAATAACAAGAAAGAATTACATACCTTTCTGCCAGCGAAAATTTCCGTAAGTCATATTCCAAAACAACCCAACTATGAGGAAAACCATTGCAATGGACACACAGGGTAAAAGGCGTCGCATACTGCAGGGCACCATGTTGCATAAAATGGTCGGGATCGCGTTGTGTTTTCACAAGAGAAGAAAAAAACAGAAGTTTTCGGGCATCGAATTCAAAGTCGCTAATCGTTGACGGCTTATTATGGAGAATGGTGGTCAACGTGCGCATGCACGATATTTGCTGCTATGTCATGGGGGCGCTTATCGTGAGTATTCTCATTTCAAGACGCTGCTGGTTGGCCGAGTGACACATCCGTCCTTATGAATGCGAACATACAGTTTTTGCAAGAGACAACAATCTATCAAGCTCTCCAGGACGGTTTTACAGAAGTCTTTCCCAAGAGGATTTCTATAGGCAAAAATACGATTTGGGTAAAATGTAAAATTTGTCAGGACAACAAACCAAAACTAGATTAGAACAAAGACTAACGAGAGAGACTTAAAACACTGAGAGATTTCTACATGGCTCGAAAGTTCCTCATCAATAACACTTGTTGTCTGCGAAAGGTTGAGCCCTTACACCAGGTAAGAATAAATTATCAAGGCCATGCCCCCCAGCCCCCAAAAAGACCCCAATTATGATTTTTTAATTAATCAGACTGAAATTAATAAGTGTCTTCAGAGTTCAGACATTAAGTGTCTTAAATGGAGGTTGTTCTGTATGGACAGCGACATTTTGTTAAGGAAATTGTTTTTGAGCAGCTGCTAAATTGTAACTGCTGCAATCAGTTAATATAAAAGTGAACCATGGACGCTGCTGACTTGTTTTGCCAACAAAATGGCTCGGCCTTGGTGCCATTGAGTGGAGATGAGGATGGGGTATCAGAATCTCAAAAAACGGCCATTACGCGCAATTACAATACAGTGCACCACCAAGAGGTTGCCACTAGAGAGTTTACCGTCCAGGCCAACTCTCCCAGATTCCCATCAGTGCAAAATAATGTTGCTAAGATTTGAGAAAATGTTGATCGGTCGGGGCATTCCTTGTCTTACTAATACAATAGGACACCATAACACAGATACTCAAAAACACCGTTTCAGATCTTCAAACAAGACAAACAACCAATGGGAACTATTAATTCCCCGCACATAGGGCAGCTGGCGAACAGAACTTTGCCAACCATTTCCCACGTCAACTGCAAAAAGGCCTTTTTTGCTTTGGAAGATTTGCAAGGACAAAGGTAGGGTTGAAACACTGGAGAACATTGTCACGCGGCAGCATAGAATATCTGAGTCTTGGAGGGACACCCAAGATTTATTGGGAGGATCTTCGGTATTCGACCAGTAAGTCCCACGCCTACGCCATTTCTTGCGTCTGCCTAAACAATGCTTTGTTACGCCATTTCTTGCGTCTGCCTAAACAATGCTTTGTAGATAGGGACTGTGCGTAATGTCTCACTCCATGCAACGGAGCAATTTTACATCTTGGCCAGTCTTAACGGAGATTATTTTGTTGTCAATATCTAGGCCTACTCTGGTTAACTTTTCATGAAATCTGAACCAGTGCCTTGGAAGTTACCTGGCAACCGACTCCCAAGTTCCATCCGTTCCATCGTATTCGGGAAGGCGGAAAACAGGGCTGTTTCCCCCACTTGGTAATTTCGGCGCCATTACGTTTTCGACCTTTTCAATCTTGGTCTTAACCTCCTGCTTGTCTGGCACCGCAACCCGCTCACCAACCCAGGCTGAGTTTATTTCTGTGGTGTTAACGGTCCAAATTTTCCGATTGTATTTTCTCATAAAAATTGTCGGCGAGACCTGCTCCGAATTTCTGCAGCAGCCACTCGTCGAAATTGGTGGGTTTTTTCTAGGTTTCCAGATTTTTGGCAACCTCCTCTAATCCTTGAAGGCTTCTCTATTGATCTGCTTTATCCATTGTGTGGATGTTGTACTGAACTGCGCGCGCAATGCCGAGGCACGTATCGAGTCTCATGCCCATATCAGTGAACCACACGTGACCGCATTTTAGCCAACCAGGATAAAGGACCAGCAAAAGGTGCGTTAGAATCATATAGCTATGTTTAAAAACTAGAATGCTATCTCATACAAAGTAATGCCTGCTGGGTGCATCCATGTTTGTGCAGAAACCTATGGAAAACTCGAAATTTTGTAAGGCTCTTGTATGGCTATTTGCATATCAGGGTCTGTATTCTAAAACAATTCGTCAACAAAGCCGATACGCAAACAACCTGAACGCGCAATCAGTAAATGAGCGTAACGATTGCTGGATGGATTTGAGAAAAACTGATTTACCAAAACTATGAAACAAACTGTCAGCGTAAAAGAGCCCAAGAGAAGAGAAGAAAGAGAAAACTGCGTTGAAAACAACAAAGTGTATAAAGATGAACACTACACTAAGTATGCTTTATTTTATGCATGCACAAAAGTCTATATTACAAAACATCTCATATCTACAGTTTGCCAAATTACACAAACAGAAAAAAAGAACTAATGGATTTTCCTTGATTAGACATTTTCTCACAATAATAACTGGAAGTTCATCCGACTCCCGTGGTGTTTAAGACAATGGAACACACGAATTGAACACACAAGTATTTCTTGAAATTAAATGTCGCGTACATTTTACCAAACTACAACACAGACCCCAAACATACATTCCACACCAAACTCAAACAACACGAAGCAAATTAATTGAACAAATATACTGGTTCTTCCTTTCCTTTACCACGTATTACGATAAATAGTTTAATTGTGCCTAAGGTACGCACAGAAATGCATACGTACGTTATCTTGAACACTATGCATTGCAAAAATATAATGAACTACCAAGTTAAGTTAATACGTAGGCCTCTTTAGTTCCACCGTATATTTCCACCAAGATTTCAACTTTGTGACATTTAAAACACAAAAATTACAAACAGTAGATCAAATTCATGAACTTTATACCAAAATGCCAACTTAGAATTCTCAAAATTCCTCTGTTCAGAGCAAGTTTGACAAAAAATGCAACTTCCTTGGTTGCAGCTTAAAATTACACAATAATCTGACAGTGATTGCAACGGGTTGCCATAGAGTCGTGTGTGATCTCAAGCTACAATCAAGTGATTCGATGCAGCCACGAAGCATGACGCATGGCTAAGGGGGTGATCACGGCCTTGGCAGGATGGATGTTGCAGATTAAAGTTTGGGGCTAGCCCCAACCGGTGCTGTAGTCTGATCTATGAATTGTCCCTACAAGTCCTTTCACAAGTCACCCAATCTTGAGCCCAGTCAGAAGCTCCTTAAATTACTTTGTGGCGAAAACACCATTCTGTTGTTGTTCATGGTGATAACTTGTGAATAGTTTTGTGGAAGAGGTATAGTGAATGGACTTGTGACGGACTGGATATGGCACTAGCCTCACAGGACTGGAGTGGCTAAGAGATGGCCCCTGCTGTAGTATACAGACTGGTAAATGTAAACTATTGTAGTAGACAGCGAGCCTACATGCCAAAGCTAATGGAAAAGGCCCACTCTTAAGTAGAAATGTGAACGACAAACCAATCCAATACATATGGGAATATCTGCCGATGGACTAGCCTGAACCCTTTCACAGAAACCTTTTCCTTGCCCATCATCATAGGCCAAGTACCGATCTTACTCTCTTGACTTTCGCACTTAATTCCCCACATTTTATTTTAGAGAACTTGGTGGACTCAGAAAAAGGGCAGGCTACATCTCTGGCACTGACCTTTAATGTATGTTTATAGTTCATGTACTTGAAACAATTGTCATAAATGGTTCTATAAGCTCTCGACTCTAGCTAGCTCTATCACATCGAAAAGTAGTGGCTATTGCTGGCAATGACATGTATGCATGGCTATGGAAGCCACTGGCAGGTAGCCATAGCCATTTCCAATAGGCACTTGTTACTGCCTGCCACCTCTGTGATTCGGGCATGGCCTTGGAAAGCCACAACAGCGCCCCCATCAGTGCCTGCACTGATCTGATCCAAATCAAGTGGCTGCAGTCTGAAATAACGTGTGTCTATGGAACACACATTACTGTCAGCCGTAGTCAAGTAATTTGGACACGGACCTAAGATTTCCATAAATATAAAGAGCCACTCAGAGCATCCATTTCCGCAACTACAGAGAAGTGAAAACACCAACACCGCCTTAGGCTCCCAAGCACAACAGCTGTTACAAAATCCTTGAGGAAACAGCTATTATGAACCCATCACCAAAGTCGCTGACAAGCTCTCCTTTCAGCCAATCAGGACTGCTGTCTCAAATGAGAGCTAGGGATAATGCATTTCATGCTGGTCGTATCGTGCAAGGGGGGCTTCTATTGGCCGAATGATCTGAAGTGAAATGAATAAACATGCAGTTAACTGTGATGTCAGATGGTTAATCTTCAATAATGACAATCTGCACATGCATGCTCAGGGTTGTTGACTGTGTCTCTCATGAAGGGTCAAAAGCTGCTGAGAAGGTGGTGTTGAATTAACACCAGATAATTCAATCACTAAGCAACACAGGTCAATATACAGACCGATAGCAAAATAGTGTCCGTTTAAAGGGTTACAGAAATAGAAAACATTTAGCTGGTGTGAAGTACATGTATTTCAAAGTAACAATAAATATGTAATCATTTCAAAAAATCATAAATTTAAAGTTTACCCCATTAATTGTGACTGCAAAATGAATAAAAAGATCCTGCGTTTCCCTGCCCACAAAAAATCCCCTTTTGGCCATTCGCACTCCCAGGCTGATTGGGAGACATCATCGCCAGCACACTGACTAATAGACCACATTGTTTTTGATGTAGCTTGGCCCACAGGCAAACACTGTCTCAGTTCAAGAAATACACGGTAGGACAGTGTCTTTAATTTCTACTTCAGAGACAGTGTTTGCCTGTGGGCCAAGCTGCATCAAACACAATGTTGGTTATTGCTAACGTGCGATACTGCATGCACTGTGAGCTATGTACATGTACACTGTGCATGCATCGTTCTGGCGATGACATCACCCAATCAGCCTGGGAGCACGAACGGCCAAAAGGGGATTTTTGTGGGCGGGGAAAAGCAGGAGCTTTTTATTCATTTGGGGGTTACAATTAATGGGCGTACTGGTAAACATTAAATTTATGTTTTTGAAATGGTTACGTATGTGTTGTTATTTTGAAATACTTTAAGTGAAATGAATGTTTTCTATTTCTGTAACCCTTTAACGCCAGTGCAAGGCCAAATTTTATGGAGCTACTTAAACAGTCGGCAGAAACATTTTGCCAGCGGTGGTGCTTGGCCTGGTTGTGCTTACGGTAGCCAGGTATAGAGATTTCCATTGTTTTGTCATTACGTTAAGCAAACTTTTCCTCTAAGGTAAGCACGCCCTTTTGCTGTAATTACTGCTTATGGTCTCCATGAAAAGTAAAATCGGGTGCTTAGAAGTGCCGTGAAATTGGGGCCAGGTCTCAAAATCGTCCTAGCAAAGTATATTCCATACATTTAATGCATATTGCTTCCTATAACATCTGGCCTAGCATTTCATCAGCAATACAGGTAGTTATTTCAAGATTTCTTAACTAAATATTAAATATTTATGAGCAGAATTAATTCCCAAGTAGCTTGGTTTTTCAGGTTCAATAAAGGGATTAACAGATTCCCAACAGAACATCTTTAAAAAAAATTCAGTTTGTTTAATATAATCATTTATTGTTTTCGAGTAATTTTTTACTGAATGGCGTCCCCCTCACACCAACTAATCCTGGCCTGCCCCCTCCTTCACTCCAACACTCACAACTCCACTCAAGCAAAACCAAGTTCCTAGGTGTATGGTGTCTCGGCTCTTCAGCAGAGGCATTTCTTAAGTTTCTCTGAGAGCTTACACTTCTTCCATGGTGATCTCATCATCGTCCCGTTCTCCAAGCGGCTCAAACATGACGGCATGCAGCATGATGAAGAAAAAAGATGCACCTGGGAGCAAACAACCATTCTGTTACCCACAATACAAGATTTAACATAACAGTCTATAACACAGTACACATAAATTACTTCTGTCACATTTTAGTAAATAACCCCATTATTTTTTTTTTCATTTTTATGAAGACATTTTCTCTCTCTACATCAAGAATCTTGTTCAACTGTGACTGTGAAAAGAATGGATAACTTGAAGTGAAAGAGAAAGAGTGTTTCCTGCACAGACATTACATTAACGACACTCCTACGCACCTATGACCCAGAATACCGCAGACGTGGCACCGGCGATGTAGAACAGCGGGAAGGATAGTAAACCAACCACGCCGTACTGCTGGAATACTGTGAATTCATAGCCTGGTCAAAGAGAGGAGGATGGATAGAGTTTTACATCAAGAAATTTGCTTGAAAAGTTGGGGCATCCACTGGCTTAGATATTGCATACGTGTACCCATAGGCCTACTAATGGGCACAATCTGACTCCAGTCACATTAGGCCCACAAAATTACAATTATATTTCTGATCAATGAACCATTTCCCTTTTAAATTACTGCTTTGATAAATTTAAGGGCAAATATTTTTTTGGGGGGGAGGTGTTAATTTCATCAACAATAAAGGAAAAGGAACTTCATTTGAGATCCTCCACGAGGAAAAGTTATTTTTCACATGTGCATCTCTACAAATTGAGGGTATGTTATCCACGGGTGGCTTTCTTTGTGCTCATTTCAGTTTAGGGGAAAGGTGCATGGAATCTTTGAAAAGTTCATGTATACAAATGTTTGGATAAGTTTTCTAATAATTGACAGACCACACATTACTCCTTGGCCTCCTTCAGATCCTTACGCAAGTACTTGCAACTCTCCACATCGCTAGCTCAACAAATCACAAAATAGCCCCTCAAAGGGGTGTGCACAAAGAGGATAAAAAGGAAGGCATCGTTTACCGAATAAAGCGAGCTTCTTGCTGTCATTCCTGACCCGGATCCAGTAGCAGGCACCAAAGAGGACCACCAGTGCCACAATCAGCAGCGGTGACGTAAGTCTGCCAAGGAACGATGGGGCCAAACAGCAACACAAATGAAAAGAAGAGATGCCAGGGTTAGGAGATTTTCAGCAAAACACTTCTGTAAGGCCAAACGAAAGAATAGCTGTGCTTGCGGTTACCCGAAGATTCCCCCCCCCCGACTTGGCTGTCCATGCCCCCCCCCTTTTTTTAAATAAACACCAAGTAAAGACACTTCTTATCAGTACAATTGTTTCAACTCAATACTTTGTTGTCACCGTACATGTACAGTACACGTACATTCACAGGACATTCAAGGCCCAACAGTGGTGCTCAAAGTAATTTTAGCTGACCTGTCTCGAAAAAAAGGGGGCTGCACATAACAGCATGTCTGAGTGAAATGACCGCAAAGAGTTACTAAAACAAACCTCCCAAAAGCGCGGCTCATGAAAAAGATGCATTGCTTGCGGCGATACAGAACAAATGATGAGAGGCCCCCTCCTTAGCTCATTTAGGGTTGAGACTGACTTCAAGAGCCAATGTGACTAAAGAAAACGTGGCAAGGAGATCACTGGTACACAGGCAAGTTTCCTGGGCTAAGAATGGAAGAGGACACGTCGCCCCTCTAATGTGCACATGGCCTTAAATTTGAGGACTTGACTGGCGTCAGTGAACACAAATTACATGCAAGGTACCTTCGTTGAGGGCTTCATCTACACATCAGATTAAAAAATACACCCATGCTTTCACATGCGGTGTTACGAACCACTCCTTGGTGCTACAGTTTCTGAACCAAGGTTTCTATGGAGCAAGCAACAGCAGCCTGTCCAGGATAATTTGGGCCTGTCCTTGGGACAGGTGGACAGGCAGCTGGATAAGACAAGGCTTTCATTACTCCGTCAAGTTCTGAAAAAAACACAGACGGGAGACTTTGAGACGCTTGGTGGCAGCAAAAATAAAGGTCTTTTTCACCAGTTCCGAACATGTGCACGTTGTTCTGAACGTGCGTGCATCGTGCTGAGCATGCGCAATACTGTGAAAAAAGAGCGGTACGTCCGCCACCATCACTGTCTCAAAAGCCTCCCATCTCCGCACGATTTCCAGACTCAGTGGTTGCCCGCCCATCCCAAGCAACACTTACAGGCAGTACACCAACAGTCCCACAAAAACAAACAGGTAGTTGCTTTGGTATGTCTCGATATTGGACACAACGCGGCTGGTGACCTCCTTCACGCTCTTGGGCTTGGAGAACTGCGATGTCTTCAGGAACTCTGTCCAGGGGCGGACCGAGGCTCGCTTCTTCTGGATCCATTCCCGTGCCCCAGCATTCGACAGGGTGATGGACATTCTGGAACAATGAGAGGACACAATTAGGGTAATCCTTAATTTGGGGAAACTCAGGACTACATTTTTTGTTCTACTCACCATTTTTAACGTATCAGTCCAAAATTACCATTACAGCCTCGGAACGTCTTCCTTTAAAAACCCAACTGAAGGAGTGAAGAAGGACGTTGCCAGAATATGGGAACTCAAACTAATTTTGGCAGTTAAAGACATCAGAGTCCTTAGGCTAATAGTAAGGAAGTAAGTTAAAGCTAGCTGCTAGTGGTAACCGGCCTTCATATTTTTCCAGAGTTGGGATCGGGTCGGTCACAAATCCATCACCAGTCAGTCCACAAGTCAATTCACAAATCAAAATTTATTCTGTTACTCAATAATTGATTGATGTGTCTGTTATTTTGTAGTTGCATTTTTTCTATTTGATTATTCATAAAGCACTTTGTGAAAACAATAATAGTAATAAACGTTATTTATAAAGCGCGTATCACTTTGGAAATCCCTGTGCACTTATTATTATTATTGCTGAACATTGGGCACACAACAAATGAACATTCTTGAAACCATCTCAGCTCCCTCCATGCCCTGGGGAGTAAACTAGCTGATGCAGCCCTATCAGGCGCACACGGCTAACATAACCATATATATGTGCCCTTACAGGTACCCATTTACTCCTGGGTGTAGAGAGGCACATAGGGGTAAAGTGATTTACCCAAGATTACAACATGCTGCCACCAGCTGGATTCGAACCCCTGACCCTATGATCAGAAACTATAAATCCTAACCACAAGGCCACATGCCCCTCTGAAGGCTTTCTTGCAAAATGAACGGAGAATGGTAAAACTTCTCACATCCAAAATAACATTCTCAACGAAAAACACAAGGGAAGGTTGCAGGTGATAGGTACAGCTATAAGATGCTTTGTAATTGTACAGACACATTCACGGAAAACTTCCCACGATTAATGCTGACTATTAAACTTTGCATTTTAGAAATCTACATCCAAAAGATTAGCCACTCCATTAAACAAACCCAAAACCTTACTCAAAACGGGATGGTTAATCGATGGGAAAGAAGTGATTAAAAACTTGTCGTGGTCCTAGCTATGTATGCCGCTATGCTAATTGACCTTAACCCCTTTGGCTTTTTTGCTCGGCACCCTCCTCAATCCTTCAAAATCCTCCAATATTTCTTGAATTCTCCTTTGACGGGTTCCCACTGGCTCAATCTTTCAGAATCTCCTGAAGCAGTCTGAGGGATTTCACAAATAATGTAGGCATGGATTTTGCATGGCTGAGCAAAAACAACACAAGAGCCGGACACAATGCATCCTTCGCAATCAGCCACACCTTTTTGTCATTCTTCCTCAATCCTCCAAAATCCTCCAAAAAAATATTTTGGATGATGAGAAGGGTCAGAGTTAAAAATGAGACATGTTTTGGGTTATCTGCTTCGCATAGCCCAGAACTATGGGGTCCACGTGGTCCACTTTGCTATGTAAATGAAACAGGAGACAAACTCCCTTAGTTTTGCTCTAAGGCCATAGGCCTACTCTTTGATCCCTTTTTGTTGTAAGCGACTGCTGGAAAATACAGACAGCAATTTGGAAAATTATCGTCAAACTCAATGTGTAATTAGGACGGGTGTCAAATAGCAAAGAAGACAAACCTACTGGTAAAACTACATGTCGTATTTTTTTTAGTAATTGAAAAAAGTCATCATGAAAATAATTGGCCTCCTCTCTTCTTCGTTCACAAAAAACAATCTGAGATGAGAAACAAGGTTTGTCTTTCTTTACCAATTACGTTTGTTGAAGTGGACAAGTTTTAGCAAACCAACAGCGAACATCACTATTGCACTAATCCATACTAATAAGTGACGTGGCAGGGCTGGAAAAGGTTCACTGGTCTGCATTTGTACACTGTGTGGCGTAAGGGGGGCTTTCCAGTGTCGCGCGAGTGACGTAGCATGCCTAACGTACGCGGTGACAGGGGAAATTACTACCGCACAACTTCGGCGGCAAATGTCAGACAAATTGAGTTGGGCCTCAAAATTGAACACAACATCGTGCAGCTGAAGACCTGAGCTATCAGTTTTTCATTACAAATTTCCCTTACCCTGGTTTTTCTTCAGTTTCTGGCACAACAATATCGCCGGAGATCTCTTCCTCAACCTCAGCCATTGATGCGGTTGTCACGTAACTAATCCTTGACTGCACCACCCGAAACACCACACTTTACAGGTCGTATGGGGCAGCACCAGACTATATACGTGGAGGTTGTTTCGCTGACGGCTGATGCATGTACACCATATAAAATTTATGAAATACAATAGAGACGAGAACACTTGCATGAACATTTAGGCTGCATGCGAATCTGTTTTCTATGAGAGCTTGGTCTAGGTCTTCCCTCCATTTGAAACGTGTGGAGACGGACAATAGACCTAGCCGTAGCTCCGGAAGCCCGTTTCAGACTCAGCCATATAGCACATTCTAACAATTTAATACATGGAACAGATACCAAATATGTGGGCAACTACAGTATCACATCGTGACAATGTAATTTCCATTTAATTTCCAGTTTATTACCAATAAAAATGCTTTTAAACCGGTAAAACTAGCATTTACAATGTTTACTAAAAGCTACAAAAATTTTCACAAACAAAAGAAATAAAAAGGATACAACAATTGTAACATATAAAAAATAAGCAAAACTTCCGACACTGAGCCACCACCTACGACACACTTGACAAAGGTCGAGTTCGGCGGGCGCCGGGCCTGTTCTTGACACGGGTTTCTTGTTCTCGCGCTCCAATGGCGGGAACACGACTCAAGAACACTGTTCTCGGAACAGAAGTATACACCACCTCCTCGTCAGGGTTTTACAAGAACACACGGAAAAACTCTTGAGATTTTAAACAGCTGCAAACATGCAAAAAGTAGACTGATGGCTTACAAAGCCAGAGAAATTTTTACAAAAGTAACATTAATTATTCTCAGTAACACAGAAATGAATGTTCCTGTTTAAACAGAGAAGACTTCAGCTCAGTTGTGCAAACATTAACTCTCGAGTAACGTACATGGACGCCGCCATGTTGCATGTTGCTTGTCACTAACTATACCCAGCGTACGTTCCCGGCGTTCGAGCGGCTGGCCCAAGAACAACAAATCAAGCAACATGCCCTGCACGGCCGCTTTTCAAATTATTTTCTGTGGGTCTCCCAATTTTTATTTACACCTTAGCCTATGTTTTTACGCTTTGGTGGTGCTTATATCCGCTTGAAAAGAGTCTAGTATTGACTGAAGCAGCCATGCCTGGGCAAGCTCGCAAAAACGCAAAACGATAGTTCGTGTTCTACAAATAAATGTCTGTATTTAGTTCCGAAACTTGATACTTAGGAGGTGATGAGATCGATGGATTGTGACAGAATTGGCGTGATCCCTCTTCCACTGATGGTAAATTTCTTTTGTGTGTAAAAACATGTTCAGGTTGGTCAACGAGTTTGCCTGCGTCTTGGTCTGTTCAGCTTACACGTATAACTGCAGAGTACGAGTCGAACAAGCGTGCAGACATGTTATTGTATTTATTTTAGTGCTTAAAATAGCAGTGGTAAACGATTACTGGTATTAAAGACTACTGCTGGCTGTGCACTGTACAAAACAGCAAAGAATAATATCAAAAATTCGAATCCTGGGTGTGCCGTGACTGTCTGTATACATTTGAAGCATAGAAGAAGGGAAACGGCGAAAGATTCCATCAAAACTCAGTTAAAACAGCACAAGAGGTGTAACTGGCTTAGATACGGAAATCTCTTCTATTGAGAACGGTTGTTGTTCATCGGACATTTCGATGAAGTAGAGAGGTCGCTCTTATTGTCCAGCAGTAGCGGATTTATTTTCAAAGTCGAAAGGGGACACTTGTGCGACCATCAGGCATCAGCCATTAGTAATAACAGCAAAAGAGAAGTTGCAAAGAATCGACTGATTACTATTAAAAATTGCTATTAAACGCTTCGTTCAGGTGTTCAAGTGCAAACGTTTAACCACAACAGTCGGTCATGGGCACCACCAGGATGTTTTTTCCAGGTGCCAAACCAATGTTTCGCGCTCGGGGAGGCGTTTTCGCAGAAGGGGCAGATCACTCATCAGCTTAAAAATGAAAAACAGATGACCGCCGGGGTAAATTTAAACATTGTTTTCACTTCCCCATTTCTTGTCATTTTGTTTTCTTTTTTCTGGGAGGAGCACACTCCTTACTCCACCCCCTTGCAATGCCAATTGGTCCTAGGTCCTAGATTGAGTCACAACAGTATTTAACAAACGGCGCTGGCGCTTAAACGAAAGTACAGTACAGGGCCCTTTGGATGATGTGAGTCATGTTTCACAATAGTGCAAGGCACGGAAACAAAGGTCACATTTTGTAATAACGTACGGGTATATTAACTCAAGACTTCAAACAACCCACACAGTGTGGACATCAGGAGTGAAAGACGCACACAGTGTTTTATTTATAATATTATGCTGCTACAAGGCACGCAGGTTTTTAATTAACATATGCCATTTCAACAGCGAAACGACTGCATGAGTCATAGGAGTGAATAAAACAGAAACTACAGATAAACATATGAGATTTGCTGAATTGGTGGGTCATAATTTGTTTACCAGTAGACTCCAGAAAAAGAAATATTCATGAAATGCCGATTCTCGTCAAAAGTAATGTGTCTGTTCCTATAGTGGCCACAACTTGTAACATGTGTTTATAATGCATGACTCAAGCCACACTGACAATTCTTCAACGCAACGTAAAGATTTACACATTTCCCATGCTGTCAAAGGCTGACAATTAAATTAGGGCGAATTACTGCGATGTCGTAACAAAGAAAGGGAGGATTTCTATAATTTGCTCATCGAAAATATTTGTCAGAAAAATGTGTCCCCTGAGACACTGAGATGAGCTGCCAACGAGATGTTACGTTAATAATTACTGCAGCAGCATTTTCCAAATTTTGGCAAATTGTGATTGGAAATAACTGTAACATTGCGATTTACTTCCGCATGAATGTGCTATTTCGTATCAGCCTAAAAAATCTTCAAAGTACCAAATTATTGCTCTAAGCTGACACAAAAAGAATTGAAGTTTAGAAAACAATGGGACATAAAGCATTAATGAGTGGGGCATTACAACACGTTCACTGGCATTTGAATGTTACAGGATGTAATGACCGATATTAAATTAGTAGGGACTCAGTCTCTTCAGTATCCGGTTCGTAAGTGACTTCGTCACAAAGGCGGACGCGCCACGATTTGCAGGCCCTCATTGGACAATCGCTGAAGTTGCGCGTTAACTTCCGGTTCCAAGGTTCCACGTAAACGGCGATCAAAGCATGTAACCCTATGTGCACTGCACATGTGCAGTGGGCGTGGTTTAAATTGAAGTGACGTCACACTTACGAACTGGATAGGCACAAATCTGCATGAGATCTGTTTCTTAAATGTCCCTGTTGTGGTTGGTTAATGTTTCCAAGAAACAGCTTCCTTGTCAGTTAGAGTTTATTGTGCAATGATGACTTACAGTGAAGCTGCATTGAATTTTTCTGAGGCACAAATTTTCTCCATTGTTATATCCCTTTCAATCTATGAAAATTATCTGGCATGCCTTTGTAAAGTAAAATATGCTGACAAGTGCACTTTTTAAACATTTACAAATGATCCATGTTTTTCTGGACAACTGACGGCACTGTCGCTATAATGTCATCCAGAGAAGACATGGCTCCGTCCATAGATTCTTCTGTTCAAATTGAGAACGCAGAACTTATTGAAAGCAATTCTAGAAAAAGGGTTGCCTACTTGTTTCTTGCGACTTGTACAACAATGAATCATCAAAGAAAATTTAGGTTTTCAAATTCTGAAAATCGTTGAAGTTTGTGTACAGATACCAATGTAACAATTAGTTTTTGCTCAATATGATATCATAGTTTTTACCTGTAGATATGGAAATACTTAGCGTAGAACTCAAAGAGGAAGTAAAATACCTTTTCAGACCGTAAAACAGAAATTACGATGAGGTTAACTGAGACACAATGGTGCATTTTGGAAGTCTGTTTCATCAAGGTTCCATTTGCAGAGACCTGTTCAGTGTTTGGCACTTGCTTGTGGTTTAAAAGTACAAAGTTTCATTTCAAGAAATTACAGTATATACCACGAATTCATGATTAAGGCAACATAGTCCAAAGGCACTCTAAAACTGATGACCCATTTTGCATTCATAATTCTAAAAACTTGTCATTATTTTCTAACATGACTTAGAAACTCCACCTGATACACGATTCAAAATTAAACCTGTAGAAAAAACACAAGACACTTGTAAATTGCATGGAAGGCCAAATCGCTGATTCTGATTATATACACCTTTTATGTCCCGGTAGACCGCTACAACAATATGGTAAATGGGGGAATTAATAGTGTTCAAAATATCATACAACAAACGCCGCCAAACCCATCCGCGAAGTACAAGTGCCATCGTAGAGGTCGCCCTTCACTGACGTCATGAGACGCTTCCACGCTGACCTCTGGATCCTCCATTTGTACGGATATCATTCCATGACGGCCAGGTCCCAGCATTGGGTGGATGCCTCGAAACCTCCCGCTCATGTCAAACCAGTACAATATCTCGGTCTCCGATTTGTGGCGTTCCTTGGAAACAGTTGCCGTGACCACGAAGCCGACGGATTTGCTGATGTAGCAAGCTTCAGTTGGTATGCCAGGTAAAGTGATGCTAGCAGAAACCTCCACTGATGCACGTTCGCAGTTGGCACCGTGGGAACTTCGCCCTGGCGCCCTCCGGATGACTTGGATAATGGAGACAGAATTTACGTAGCCAAGAATAACAGTTGTGATAAAACCCTCCTGCTCTTTCTGTTCTAGAGTAGCTAACACGCTCATAAACCGGCAATCCCCTTCGATCACCATACCCCTACTCTCTGGATTAATGAGCCTGGAGTCATTGGTGGGAGTGTTGGGAGGACTGTTAGGGATTGCCAACGGCTCCAAGCTTGCTGGGTCCAAAGCAACAATGCCCGATGGCAGCGCGACGAAGACTGTATCCGCAGCCAATTGGATGCTCTGTATCAGCGACAAATTACTCTTCTTGCATTCTTTGGTCCTCACATCAAGTGAAATGACGTGCGTCATTGACTCATCACAACCCAACAAATTCCAACCGGAGCAGGTCACGAAGGTCCGACACCCACTAAACCCCAAAACATCAGTATCTGTGGCCCGAAGTAAAATGACACCCCGCTGGTCAAAGACCACAAGCTCATTCTCACTTGAGGCTCTGTTTCCTAACATCAAGCGTTCGTAGGCAAAAAAAAACAGTCTGGTTGATCGAGGTGCTCTCCAGGTCTCTATTTGCTCGGGAAGAATCCAGAATGATTGGACTGTCTTGGTCAAATGCACCACTGGATTTTTGAAAGTCTCTTCCGTCCTACAGTCCAGAAACACCAAAGCATTGTCTCTCTGAGATGAGTGGGATTTCAAGGCACACAGAAGACTAAGAATCACGGTGCTTTCTCCAACATGTAAGACGTTAGACAATCTGACCGTTTGGGGAGGAGGCAGGCAGTCCTTAGCCATTTGCTTTGTAATGAAATGGGATGCATTCTTGACATTCCCCCAAACGGGCAACTGCTTACCTTGGAGGATATCTATGATCAAAGGAAGGTTTATTTCACACCTTTTGTCTATTAAGATATCAAGCAAGTCCTTGGCGTCCTCTAGTCGAGAGGGGTTTTCAATCAACCAGGTGTCTCGGCGAAGGTCCTCGAGAACAGCATCCCGTCTAGCTCGCAGAATTACACGTAGTAGGTCAACTCTCACATGCCTAGACCCCTTAGAATACTGCAACATGGCTAAATGATGGGAAATCTCTGGCAACCTCTCCCAGAACTCCCAGTCTTCCTGCCTCAACGCTTTCCTTTCGTAGTTAACGACGTTATTGGAAATCAGCAAGCTGCAGACTGCCCCTGTGCATTCACTCGTCAACAGGTGGATAGGTGTCGGAAGAAAAGTATCCAAGCGAAAGCCACAAGCGTACGGTACGTCTCGACAGCCGTCGTTGTCAAGCTCAAACGATGGCTCGGAGCCAGCCTGGACAGCTCTCAGACTCTGTTGACCGCCGTCTCGCGTCTTGTGAAAGTTGTCCCACCTTTGCAACTCGATGTGCCTTGTTTCATCAGGTACACAAACACTCCCTGTGTACGGGTCAAGCAGTACGCAGGTCATAGGTGGCAGGTTAACCATGATAGTTCCCGTCAAAAAGCCGTCCTTTGTTATTCGAAGATTGGGTGAGTCGCCACAAACTTCAGAAAGGCACCCATGACTTCCAGAATCTCCCAGGCCGATTGGATACCCTAGTACCCGTCGCCATAACAGTGGTATGCATGTACAGACAGCTCCTGCTTCTGAGATCCACTGCGTAAACGGCCACCAAGGATACAAATTGCTCTTTGGTGAAGCCGAACAGCACGCTATAAATCCAGGTACCTCCACACCCTGTCTACTGCCAAAATACCTGCTGAAACTGACAAACGCTCTCTCTGCATCCTCAAACTTCCCGAGTAGCGATCTTACAACTGAAAGGTGAAAATATGCATTTGGATCTTTCTCAGCAACTACGACAATGTTGGACTCCATCTTCAGTAACCACTCTTTGTTCCTGTCTACTTCTGACAAGTCGTCGTGAAGGCTTTGATTTATAGCATCCAGAGTATGACAGTGTAACATGGAAATTAGCGCAGCCCGTGTGGCATCCGATGGACAGTGCTGTTCACACAATACAGCGTCCCAAGATGTTGCTGCGTGCCAGGCACTAGTTTGGTTCATTATTCCCTGGTCGTAAGCTGATGCACAGAGAATGAGCGAGTGCAACTTGATTTCATTTATATGATCCGTGGATTCATCAGAAATGAGCTTGGCGGCATCACGGTAATATTTAGCAGCCAATTCAGACTCACCGCTCTGAGCCATTAAGCGGCCAAGTTCGTTCAAATGTAAGCCATACTGTAATCTTGTGTCAAGTGACGATATGCATGTAGTGGTAAGCTCACCATTAAGGGTACCTTTACCAATGGACTTGGTAAGAGCTTGTTCAGCCCTCTCTAAGTAACCCCTAGTCCACCATACGTACGCCAGTGCAACGTCGAAGCAGTGATGTACTGCAGATGGCGCCCACTGCTTCAGCAAGCTCTCTACCTTGTGAACGTAAGCCCAGATGGTTTCAGATGGTCTATGATGAAGCGCCTTCAGCGAAGATGTTCCAGGCACTGAACTGGGTAGAAGCATGGAAATAGCATGTGCAAGGACAGCTATGCACCAGTCGCTGGCATCGTAACCATCAACTGGATCAGGTAGCGGGAGCATTCCTGGCATAAGCGGCAGTCCAGGACAGTGTTGTGAGCTCATAATGGCACCGTCAATGTGGCGAGTATCCCGACGGAAGCATTGTCGCAATCCTGCTCGATCATACTGCTGACCAAACCACAGGTAGCCGTCGACTGTGCGCTCTGCCTGGACGAGAGCCTTCAGCAGCCAATCAAATCGGACCTGCTGAAGCCATCTTTGGTGGCGGGTTTCTTTCACCTCAGGCAGCAAACCTGGAGGAAGCTGAATCATTTCTTCTGTAGTCTCAAAATTGACAAGCCTTTGTAAGCATAGCTGCGCTAAAGTCGGGATGGGTTTCTGCACGTTGTATCTACCCAAGACTTTAGCTGTCTCATATCGGACTGTCTCTTCCACTCTCACGGACAGTGTCCCAGAATGCATGACTAATTCTCGAAGACAGAACAAACAATGTTGTGATGATGGTCGGAAGAAACAGTCTGTATCCTTATAATTTTCGACCCCATCCCTGCCCCACATCTTGTTTTCATTACTGCTGTTCCAAGCTTGAGATGAACTATGTGCACATATTCCGTGGCCTGTCTTCTCTTCCAAAGGATGACCGATTGTAGTGTTCGATTGTTGTTCTTCATAATCAACTGGCGTACCTTCGTCAGCATTATTACTCACAGACGTCGGAGTTTTCTCAAGAATTTTCTTTATGAAGTCACACACCTCGTACATGACAATTTGACCAATTTCCGCTGCCATAACTGCAAAGGAAAAAAAAACGACTCCTGGCTTCGCTTACTTCAACAAAGAAAAGCACCCGCCCCGTACTTCACTGATACATACTGGTATGTACCAAAGGTAAATAGCCTTATATCGCGCAAAATAATTGGCATAAATAATCTTATCTAAATTAATCTATGTCAGTGTTCTAACATTAAAATAGTAAAATTGGTGCAGTTTAAAAAAAGCATAATAATGAAATCATCTAAATCAGAAAAGTGTTACGAAGGGACTCTGTAACAAACATGACTTTCCCATATTTTTGTTGATCTGGGTAGAAATACTGTGTCACAGACCTTCAGTTTGCAGCCGTTTGCAGAAAATTGTGCAGTCCGCTCGCGCGCACCAAGATGGGTTTGTGGTTCAGCCAAGAGGTCCGTCGGTCCAGTTTTTAAACCCTATAAAAGGTAGTGATCACAACAGTTTCGGGACCTGTTAATCTTCTGTATTTAACTATTGGCACAATTGTAAATGAAATGTCCAGACCTGGTGGTACCATCTGGTTGGCAGACTTGTGTTTGTACAATAACAATTGACAATAGGAAAGGATTTTGGTGGCTAGTGGATGTTTCATCGGAGAAACTTTCCACCTCCGACATTTTACAAAGTGTTACTGTTAATGTATAATCCGCACTTCATATCCATACGATTTGATCAACGCAATGCAGATGTAGAAAAACACTCGATGGCACGTCTGAAGATGGCAGCATAAATTATAGCTTCATGCATTGAAAGTTGGTATTCAAAACATAATAAATGATCACTGTCACAGTTTCCTGCATTGAAAGTTGGCATTCACATCATTATGAGCACCTCACCAAAGTGTTACAGAATCGGCGGTAAAAGCTGCCGACACGCGGTCGCTGTCGCTGTATTGTGGGTAGTCAGTTAGGCCTATGCTCCAGTGTTTGGCCTTGAAAAAATCACAATTATCCGTTTAGTACGCTCCTTGACATTCCATTCGTGACAAGCCGGGCACGTCTGACGATGAGATGGGAAGCCAACACGACTATCAAAAACAGAAGGAACCAACAGATTTATCACAGACGGAAGAAAAGATTTCAGAGGACGTGGTTTTTATAAAGGAAATTTGCAACCCATAATGGCGGCATTTTATTTTCCGTTGCGAAATGAAACTTCCGTCCCATTGAGGTTCTTTTGAGAAATATGAAATTGAATTAATCGATTCAGATTATCTCTGAATGTCCTACCCAATGTCTCCATCTTCTCATTGACGCTACGATGCTACATCTAATCCTCGAGGGTCATTATCCATTTGTTATCCTTGAAGATGCTTACGACCAATTTTATGTTGAGGCCACTCAACGATCTCGAGATCTTGTCTGCACAATGCTGTCATCCTAGGATAAAATAATATATGTCGGGATTTTAATGAGTCAGGTACCAGCACCTCCAGAACAGCTGCAATGTTGATGAAAATATACCTCTGTGTCATATATCAACCTAATTCTCATTTTTGTTGTGCTATTTTGAAGGGTATTTTGGTACATAATGTTGAGCATTTCCATAATAAAGAGTAATTTTGCGAGGAAGAATTCCGAAATGAGTATTATTTTCTGCATCAAAAAAGGAAAACAGTTCCACATTTTGCTTCCTCGGATTTCCTTTTCTTTGGTGATTTATTCCCGCCCGCTTTTTTTAGTGATAAAGGTAATAATCTATAGTAGCCACCTTTCTCGTACTACATTTTTTTCAAGGGACAAGTTAAATTTTGGTCTCCCGATTTTCATAGAAAGCCATACAAAATGAATATGTCTTCGCAATTCCCTGACATCAGTGCCTACATTGTCCAGGAAAACAGGGAACATTGTATCTGTTCAAATGCACGTAACCTAGCTGGCCTGACACCAAATAGCTTTCAGATAAAGCAGAGGTGTATAATGTGTGGATGCGTGTGTAAACAAGTCATCGCCTGGGCCCTTCAAAATGCATCTAAAATGAAACTGAATTGTTAGTATTTATAAGCTGTGAGTGTATTGGTTTCCGTGTTCGTATTACAATTTATAAACCGGTTTACATCTGGGCATGGCGGCCTTCGGGATTCAAATATTTCATCACATCGCTTAAAAAAGATGTTTAAACAGTGAAAGGTGTGCCATTATTCTTGGTTCCTCAATTATAATTATACGCATCACTGCGAGCAGAAACACAAAACACTCTATGGAAGCCGTGCATACGGTGTCGTAGTCTTCTCTAATGATTTAAAAAGAAAATGGAGTAAAGCGGTTTTCATATGAAAATGTCCGCTTTAGATATTCTGTCAGTGTCCTATTTTTTTAAATATCTCCAGTCATTGACATATGCTACTTTTTTATTCCCTTGGCTAGGTTACATTGTTTCTACGTGCGACCTTGATATTCAAAATATTATAAGCACCTTCCATAAAGGGTTCATTGCGTTTGTAAAAGAAATGAACAAGAAATACAAAACGGAATGATTGGAAATCTACCACTTTCAAAATGCGGACGTACATTGACAATGAACATCCGATACACCGGCACAATTGTCTCGTCGCTTACCTTTGGAGCTTCCACCCACAATTTCGGGATGTATCAAAAGAGTGCGTCCGCGCGCACACATCTACCTCCCCGAACCGGTGCTCATAGCAGGAATGATAAGCAATGCTACTTCATAAACATGATTGCAGAACAGACTCCATTCAAGGCTCGATTCAACAATGAACGTCCTACTTAATAACAACCTGGACGGATACCCAATTTCAAAATTGCCTGAGGTGTTTACTGGAAACAAATGAATCTGCTATGACAGCAATAACAATACCCCCTGCGTGTGTGTGCCTGATGAACCACAGCAGGGGTCTATCGTTGCATAGTGACGGAGGGAAGTACATGTACTAGGCCAAGGGTGGATTTTCCTTCGCGCATGTAACCACACGCCTGTTTGACTCGTGCGCACAGCGTGACCATACTGTGCATCTATTTCCTAGTATGCCACATCTGTGCACTGGTAATCTCTGCGTATTTGGGGTTGCCTGTTACCGTCTATTTTGTCTGTTATATTTTCATTTTCATATTTTTTTATGTCTTTTTATTCAGATCTGCACATATTCGCCAATATAACATCCCTTCACTTCATTTACAGCTTTTAAATCACAGCTATTTAATATGTCATTTATTTTATCCGTGAAGTGGTTCAAATTCAGTGGACTGTACACGAAAGCAGTCTTTTATCTTTCCTTGACATGCATTTGCCCAGCTTTTGGATGAGCGAAGATCAGGGTGGCACTGATTAGCTGGTATCATTTTGTCTCCACTGTACCATTCACTTAGACTGGGGAGGAAATCAGCGTCAAATATGCATTCAGTATTATATGCGTTCCCTGCGCAGATCATCAGCGATAGCGGCTAGTCAGCCACGGTTTACACTGCACTGCCTGATCACGAGCCAAAGCGGTAACCAAACCAAACTCCACGTGACAAACCTTCCAAGAGCAGTTCACACAGAGGGCCTCCGGAGAACTTCTTTTGTGCCCCAGGTTTTCTGTGACAAAATGCAAGCTCCGGGCACTGCATGTGCAGCTTTCTTATGTATCTGTGTACAAAACTGGGGCAACGATGCATTGAACTACCCTCGGGGGGTTAGCCATTTGACCTGAGGCCAGTCTACCTGTTGAGATTCTACGGTTTGGCCTTTTGGGTCACCTAAAACTTGGAATATCAAGTTTCGGTACCGGATCTCGAGATTTGGTACGGTGCGTCCGACGGGACACGACTGAGTTGGTGGCAATTCAGCCGCACACCAGCGTGTTGTGTGCAGCAGTGCAACTTAACTAAGGCGATCCTTACACTCTCAGGATACTACACATAATTTAACCCTATTAAGACTGTTTTGTTTGCTTTTCATCTCTTCTCTTTTCATTTCTTTTCTTTTTTTTTTCTTTTCTTCTGTTGTCTTTTCTTTTTTTTTTCTTTTCGTCCATCCCCCATAGTTGCAGATATCGAACACATCGGACCGTTATTTCGCCGACATACTGTGCTTGTCCGACCGAGCTACCCCAAGACTTCACAGAGCCTCAATCATCTGTGCCAATAGCCAAGGGACGGCACAAGCTGACCAAAATGGCTAAGTCAGCATAAATCAGAACACCGTCTTCCCTCTACCATAACATGTAGCAAATCCCACACCACACACTGTTTAATCAATCCTTAGGCCTATGTACATTCACACCCCATGGACGTGTATAATAAAATCTGGACTCGCAATGCCCTTAATCAGCTTATAGAGATCACTGAATCCACTCGTGGCCATTTTACCGAGCCGAATACAAAGCTGTCCTGGCGATGCCCACCTTTGTTCTTCCTGACGTCAATAGAAGGAAGCCAACCCTTGCATTTGTATTCGGCTCGGTAAAATGGCCGCTGGTTTGCTTCTTTTTCATACAAAGGCGTTGCAAGTCCAGGTTTTTTATATACGTCCGTGTCACACCCACGTTCAGGGAGTGCCAAGGGTGCACTCTCGTGCACGCCCTGCATTCGAGGTGGGCCAGGGCTAACACAAAGGTGAACTAAGTTAATAAATACAAAACTACAATGGTCAACAGCAATCATGGTCCTGCCAGGGAAAAGACTAAAAAAATGTGGTTACTCTGAAGCCAACCAGGGCCATTTTACCGAGCCGAATACAAATGTGCGGGATGGCTCGCTTCTATTGACGCCAAGGAGAATAAAGGCGGGCATTGCCGGGGCAAGCTTTGTATTCGGCTCAGTAAAATGGCCGCGAGTGGATTCAATGATCTCTATAAGCTGATTAAAGGCATTGCGAGTCCAGATTTTTTAATATACGTCCGTGGCCGGTGTAACGGTCTTACCTATCCGGCATGCTCGGAATTCCGGTCATTAACCGAACACTGCCGAGCGACCCGAACGTATGTGCAGTAAGTCCCGCTTTGTGCACTTTTATGGTGTGCTGAGTTCCTACCAACCTCGACTATATGGCTGCCGCGGCGTGCGCCTTCGATTTAAGATTGCTCAAGGCATGTTGAGAACCATGTGCCAGCGTATAGCGCTGCAAGAGCGTACCAATGAGAACGAGCGCATGTACTTGATGTACAGACCGTGGTTACTTATGGCTCGAAGCAACGTACATGTATAATCATGATGCACCACTCAGAGATCTCTGGCTCAAAGGCGGCAAAGTCAAAGTATTTCCCTGATCTCCCAGTCTCATCTACATAATATTTCTCCGTACGCCCAATTAAGCCACCGCACTTGCCAAATGCAGGACCACAGCGTACGCACGTACAGTACACAACCGGAAAAATCAGCACGCCGGATAAGTGAGACCGTTACAACGGGTTATTTTGACCCCTCTCACAGCCAGGGGAGGGGGGCAGATTACGCCCCACTCCCAGAACTCGGCTGTGCAAAGCCTGATGTTTTAAATGTCGTTTGCGCGTATAAACACCCCTTATCATTACAAAATAATGTGAAGCTTGAACTCAGTCACACATTTGGTTTTGTTGTTATGGTCATTTGAAGTTCAAGGCTTCATGTGCGTCAGTACGCGTGCATTGAAAGAGATATGTTGCATTATACGCGCAAGTAGGAGCGTGACTTACCGTTATTAACATGGTTAACTACGTAATTAAGCTCTATACATAGTATTTTCTTGGTTTTATGTCTTCCTTTTATCAATATTTTGTCAAATAAATACAATTCAAAGGATCTCCCAACCTCCCCAAAAAATAACAATAACCAACACAAAGGCGGGGGGGGTGCTCTGTGTCCCATAGTTTGCTTCGTATGCTTACTAGCCCTTGATTACTTCAGGACCTCCTGGTGGGCCAGTCAGTATTTTTCTATGACATCACGCAACCTAAGACTATCGCCTATTTTTATCATCATATTTCATCTTGCTGTGCAATAATTTCACAGAAAAGGTCAATGTGTACCATATTTTCTGACCCTATGATATTTCATATTCATGTTCATCCCGTACAAAAGGTCTCACTAGACTGTCTGACCCTATGCTATTCTTATTCATCCCTAGGTCATCTTGAGCCATATTTTTTCACCCCTGTACGCCATTCCTATTCATATCAATATCATATTATTACGCTTATGAATATTCAGGTGACCTTTTGCTATTTTGTACCAAAGGTCAAAGTGTACCAGACTGACCTTTCCCCACTACTAATGAGGCGTTATATTTTTCCTTGAAAAATCAAATTACTCAAATCAAGGAAAAACCTTGCAATTTTTCGGCTTTTATCTTTATTCCATCTTTTAATTATGAAAATGTACTGCAATTAATTTGATTCTAGTCCCATCTTTAATTTTTCATTAATTAATTATGTATCTTTATTGTCTTCTTAATTTTAATCTATAATTGTGTCTTTTGATGGAACATTTTAAAGTGAATTGCCAATCTGCTTTTTATAATGTGGACAAAATTCAATGGAGTTGAATTGAACTAAATGAATTGTAAGCAACTAGTGATAGCAGGTTGTGGACTCTCCCCTGGATTAGATTTCAGCTAAACAGAAGATGCTTCTCGTGAGGGCGTGATAAGCTTAACAGCGACGTGCAGTGTGTTCTTCCATTCACAAATACATGTATCTCACCAGCCATTGCTACATATGGGCCTACTTTTCACACTGTACAGGGACCTGCAAAGGCACATGCAACTGCGAGCAATGCTCGACTTCAAAAATTCTGCTGAGCAAATTCTTAAGAAACTTGCAAGTGTGATATATTTTCCATTTCAGCGATAAAAAGAATTCGAAAGTGGAATCTCCGGCACGCGTATTTCAACAACTTACTTGGCAGTAATCGCTGCTACATCTGACGCGGACTTTATGAGTGCATTTGCATATGTATGGTCTTGAATACATTTTGGATCGTAAAATTTAACGATTGTTATGGTGCTCACATACACTTCTTGCACAGAAGCATTTTACTGTGCATGATATTTGCATTTGGCATTGTTAATTCATACGCAAAACAGATACATGGAGTCAGACATTCATTTTATGGGCGCATTTGTACATGTATGGCCTTGCATGGATTCTAAATAGGGCATTTTCATGATCGTATGGTGATTGCATGCACTAATTGCATGGAAGCATTTATTGTGCATAGTGTTTGCATTTGACATTGTTAATTTTTCTTAAAGTACTAGTACATAAGACTCGGACTTTATGGGTGTATTTGAATATGCATGGTCTTGCATGCATTTTGAATCATGAATTTTTCATGATCGTATGGTAACCACATACACTAATTGTATGGAAGCATTTTATTGTGTATTAATTGCATTTGGCAATTTTAATTCATGTGAAGGTACTGGTAGGCCTACATTCATATGAAAGTACTGGTGCGCGAGTACCTGGCCAACTATTACAAGATGTACTTGGGGATGTTGAAAAGAAAATATCCACTTTACTGGAAGGCGCTTTTATAAAATAAAGAGTCGTTCAGTCGGATCGGAGATTTTGACGTGGAGTAACATTATCACATAGTACGGTGCTGCGCCCAGGGTGGCGCTCGTAATCGACGAGATATGAGAAACACTGCGCCACAATGTACGGCTACAGAGACAGAGAAGAATGGAGCGAAATCTTATAAAAAGAGTAAAGTCATCTGTCTTGAAAACCAGTCCTCCAAAATGCATTCATATTCGTCATTTTCAGTAGCTGTAGAAAGTCCTTGATTTGTAATATGCGAAGGAATCTCAACGTGATTAAATTCGTTCGGATGTTAATAAATAAATACTTTGGGAAGAAACTCTAAAAAGTCGATGAAACTGAGTTTGATGGGGATGGGTTCGGTTCGCTTCGTTTCGTTTTGTTTTGGTTTGGTTTTCAGAAAAATCTATCACGCATGAATCATTCAATCAATCATTTAGGTCGTAATTTCGCAAGATTGATTGATTATGGTGTGTAATATTCACTGCAAATTACATTCCACTCACTTGTTACATGATTGAGTAACTGCTTTTGT